GAAGGAACATCTCCCCAGAGAAGATCTAGGGTGGCAAATAAGCACCTAAAAAGATGCTCAATGTCATTGACTATCAAGAAGCACCAATTAAAGCCACAGTGAGATATCACAGCCCAGCTATTAGGACAGCGACAATGAAAAGTAGGGACCGTACCAGAGAAACTAGATCTCTCATAATGTTGAGAAATCCATACTTTGAGTGGCTCTAAAATGGTACAGCCATGCTGGAAATTGTAAGTTGCTTTTATCTTTTATTGAAAAAATTTTAAGTTTCAATAATAGAGACTGGGTCTCACTATGTTGGCCAGATTGATCTTGAACTCCTGGGCTCAAGAGATCCTCCCACCTTGGCCTCCCAAAGTGCTGAGATTACAGGTGTGAGCCACCACACCCAGCTGGAAGTTTCTTTTAAAACTAAGCCTATGCTGGGCCAGGCATGGTGGCTTACGCCTTTAATCCCCACACCTTGGGAGGCCAAGGTGGGAGGATGACCTGAGGTCAGGAGTTCGAGACCAGCCTGGCCAACATGGTAAAACCCCGTCTCTACTGAAAATACAAAAAATTAGCTGGGTGTGGTGGCGGGCACCTGTAGTCCCAGCTACTCAGGAGGCTGAGGCAGGAGAATTGCTTGAACCCGGGAGGCGGAGGTTGCAGTGAGCTGAGACTGTGCCACTGCACTCTAGCCTGGGTGACAAAGTAAGACTCTGTGTCAAACAACAACAACAACAACAAAATACTGAGCATATGCTTACTATACAGCCTGGCACTTTTACTCCTGGGCATTTATCCCAGACAAATGGGATAAATGGACACAGAAAACCCTGCATACAATTGTCCACAGCAGCTTTGCCTGTAATAGCTAATAACTGGAAACCACCATCCATGAACGAACAGTTAAGACAGACGAGTACATCCACCTTATGGGAGACTCAGCCATAAAAAGGGGTGAACTGCTGATACCCACAGCAGCAGGAGGACGTTCAAGGGAACTACACTGAATGAAAAAGGCCAATCCCAAAAGGTCGCATACTCTATGACTGTTTATACAATATTCTCGAAATGACATTATAGGAATTGAAAGCTGATTAGTGGCTGCCAAGGGCTGGGCCTGGGGAGTGGGTGTGTCTCTAAAGGGGTAGCACAAGAGACCTCTGTGGGGATGGGACCATTCTACATGTTGATTGTGGCGGTGGTTACACACATCTACACAGGTAAAAACTTGCATAGAACCACACACACAAGCGAATATAAAACTGGTGAAATATGAATAAGACCTGTAGACCACATCCACATCAATTTCCTGGTCCTGCACAACATATGACTATGTAAATTTTCGCACATTACTTATGTGAGGTCTGACTGTAGCTATGCACAGCATGCAAAGGGCACATAGGACCCCTCTGTACTATTTTTGCAGCTTCCCATGAATCTATAGCTATTTCAAAACAAAAGCTACAAAATAACAACACAACGCAAACTTCCCCTCCTGGCTAATGTACAATAGCAGGTATCGTATTTACCCACCTTGAACAACTAGAAGCCCAGGAGATTTCGGAAGCAGTGCTTTCTGGATATTTGACAACAGGCAGCGAAGGATCGTGATCCCTGAGAGACGGACACAAGCACTGAGCTATATGACCCCAGCAAGGCCTGGCTCAGGGCAAACGAACCCAAACAGATCGCAGGGTCCCACCCCACACACACTGAGGAGAAGAGTATTAGAGTGTGGGGAGGCGGAGGGACTCGACTTTGCTGGGCAAAGCTTCGGAGAGGAGAGGCTGCACGGAGCACTCAGGACACACAGAGGGGTAGGGAGGAAACCTTGGAAATGGTCAACTGAGTGACTCTTAGAACTCACACAGCCGAGGAGAAAGCCTTCAGAATACATGGGGCAGCAGGCAGAATTCTAAGAAAGAGACTGCATTGGTAGCAGGGTTAGCAAGGGCTGTTCTGAACCCATCCGAATACAATTAAAAGCAAGTATGGGGAAGATCCAACATGTTAAAACAATTTAACTGCAGACACACAGAGTCTAACGTTATTTAAAGAAAAACAAAATTGAGTGTATTATTTCTTGCTGCATAAGAAATTGTCTCCAAACACAACAGCTTCAAACAACGACTTCTGAGGGTCAGGAGTGGGGGAGTGGCCCAGCTGGGTGGTTCGGGCTCAGGGTCTGCAATGAGGCTGTGGTCACGTTCTGGGCCGGGACTTCGGGCTCTGGAGAATGTCTTGGAACTGGTGGGCCACAATGGCCAGGGGGAATTTCAGGCTCCTGCCACATGAGCCTCTCCCTGGGGCTGCCTGTGACACGGTTCCCCACCGCAAGCGGTAAGAGGAGCAATGGGGCTGATGTCACACTCTGTGTCTGATTCACACGCCATCCCTTCCTCCTTGTCATAGCTATTAGAAGTGGGTCACGAGGTCCAACCCATACACAATGGAAAGCATCACACAAGGGAAGCCATCCTGGAGGCCAGCTGCCACGTCAAGAAACCAACAACGTGAAATCCACAAAGTAAATATGACATCCAGTTAACAATTATCAGGCAGGCAATGAAGCAAGAACATATGAGACATAAGCAGGAGAAAAATCGAGTGATAGAAACAGATCCAGAAATGACAGTGACGGTGGACTCAGCACATCAGGATGTTAAAGACCCATTCTACATATCTCTACATGCTCAAGAGGGTACTGAAAGGCAAGAACCTGATGAGAAGCAAAATGGAAGGCATGGAAAAGACCCAGGAAGGAAAACAGTGCGTCCACGGCGGAAAACAATGGGCAGCTTCTTAGAAAGTTAAACACATCATTATCCCATGACCCAGAAACTTTGCTTGAATTGAAAACAGGAATTCAAACAAATAGTTGTGTGTGTGCGTATTTGTGGCTGCACTGTTCAGAATAGCCAAAAGATGTAAACAACTCAAGTGTCTATCAAACAATGAGTGGATAAAAAGCATGGGGTTGGCAGGGCGAGGTGGCTCATGCCTGCAATCCCAGTACTTCGGGAGGCCAAGGTGGGTAGATCACCTGAGGTCAGGAGTTTGAGACCAGCCTGGCCAACATGGTGAAACCCCATCTCTACTAAAAATACAAAAATTAGCCTGGCATCATGTTGGTGTGCACCTGTAATCCCAGCTACTAGGGAGGCCGAGGCAGGAGAATTGCTTGAGCCTGGGAGGCGGAGTTTGCAGTGAGCCGAGATTGTGCCACTGCACTCCAGCATGGGTGGCAGAGCAAGACTCCATCTAAAAAAAAAAAAAAAGCAGAAAAGCATGGGGTCTATTCATACAGTAGAATATTATTCAGCTATGAAAAGGAACAGGGCACTGGTCCATGTTACAACATGGAAGAACCTTGAAAACATGCTAAGTGAAAGGAGCCAGTCACAAAAAGTCACACGTTGTATGATTGTGTTGATAGGAAATGTCCAGAATAGGTAAATCCTTAGGGACAGACAGTGGGGGGCGAATGCTGCTGGAGACTAGGCTTCCTTTGGGGGTGACGGGACTGTTTTGGAACCACAAAGAGGTCATGGATACGCACCCGGGTGTGTGGACTCATTGCTACACAATTGTACACTTCAAAACGGTTATTTTACACTCTGTGAATTTCACCTCGGTGAAGTTTTAAGAAATTAAAAGGGAATAAAGAACCAGATGGAAATCCTAGACATGGAAAGCAAGGAATTTGACGTGATGAGTACACTGGTGGGTTCACAGCAGATGGACCGAAGGCAGCAGGGCAGGCTTGGGGCCCAGCAGCAGAGCGACCCACAATGAAGCCGCAAGAAAAAGTCCGAAGGGGACGAAAGGGATGGGGGTCAGGGACCATGGGACAACCTCAAGGGGTCTGACCTACACAGGGCCCCAGCAGGGAAGAGAGAATGGGCTCTCTTTTTCTCCGAGGGCCCCTCTCTCCACTCTCAGGCTGGCCTGGTGCCCTTCCTTTGCCAGATTTCCCACCCAGCTGTGAAATTAAGCTTGAGACTCTCTGTTCCCCTGGAGCGCCCTGGCAAAGTGGTGTCTCAGGTCTCCAAATTCTTCCACTGCTGAAGCCCCTCCTGCCTGGATCTGCCCTTGCCCCAGCCTGGTCCACTTCCTGACTGTGCAACCGCGAGCAAAATCCTTAATCCCAAGGCTCTGTTTCTGCATAGAAGTGAGAACAGTGCCCACGCCACTGGGTTCTTCCAGCAGTAAGCGACATAGGCATGAAAAGCTGGTGTCACAGTGCCCGGAGCAGAGCTCAGTCGATGGCAGCAGCTTGCACGCTTGGACTCACCTTGATCTCCCTGTTGGGACCAGGACCCTCGGGAGTGAGGTTGCCTGGGAGAGGCCCGGAAGCTGCCATGTTGCTGAAATAACATTGGAAGAGGTCATTTTCAGCACCGAGTGACGGAGGCTGAGCTCAGGGACCAGATGGGAGAGAGGGTTGGGGTGGAAAAGAGCTGGGAAGGGAGCTGGGCTGGGGGCACAGCTGAGGAGCATCCGGAACGCCACCTTGTTGAGATGGTTTGTGACAAACGTGAACGGAGGCAGCGGGCAGGTCCACGTCTCTGCAGGGATGGGCTTTTCCTGCCCAATGCTTTATGTGCGAGTTTCCTAAAAGCTGGTGGATCTATGAGCAGGGCTGAGGGGCTCGGGGGTGGGCCAGGAAAAAGAGGACTGAGCCAGGAAGCAGCAAGGGAGGCAGAGGCGTGGGGGCGGGGCCGGGAGGCAGAGGGGGAAGCAGCGGCGTGGGGGCGGGGCCGGGAGGCGGAGCGGGAGGCAGCGGCGTGGGGGCGGGGCCGGGAGGCGGAGCGGGAGGCAGCGGCGTGGGGGCG